TATATATAGAAATTATTTTTGATACATTTAAACATCCAGTCAAAGTGGACAGAGTGGGAAAGGATTCACTTCCCGTCCTGGTAACAATGGATTGTCCCCCATGCCAAAGTTACAAGTTTACTTTTCTTTTAGAACAAAAAAATGGATGCGCCACAGATCAAGGAAAATAGTTTTTATTGGTAACATTGGGGCTTTAGTTTTTAGGTGTAACTCAAAAGGAGAATCCCTTGAGGCTCCGCCCAGCTGTCATCTTCGAGGTAGGGGAACGGACATTCGCCCTGCTTCGGCTGTCACTTCGGCTCAGTCGAGCCGAAGCATGTGCCTTCAGCTCGGCTGAGCCTCTCGGCCGCCTTCAGCTGCTCTACGGGCTATTGTGAATAGCCCGTACAGCAGCCCTTCGGTTCGACTAAACCGAAGGGCTCCGGGGGCCGAAGACAGCTGCTTCTTCGGCTTCTTCGTGAATAACCCTGTAAGTTTATGGTTTGGTTAAAGCTGAACTCCAGACAAACAGTTAAATTCACAAGTGGATTATATCAGAGCTATTTATCTGCCAAATACTTTTTACAGATGCAGGTAATCCACCATCACCCTGTTTACATAGAGTGCATAGAAAATACAAAAGAAAAATATACATTACATAGAAAAATATTATTGCCCATTTTGTTTAAGATTTCCTTTTAAAGGGACTATAAAAAATCCTTAAATGGTACTTGAGAAAAGATACGTTTGTGTCGGTCCCCTGCTCTTTATCTCGGTGTAGTCTCAAAAGAATATTGTGTAACAAATGATGCAGCATTTTTTAATTCAATTAGGAACTTCAACCTAATTAAAAAGTACAATAACATTTTAAAATAGATTCTTCTGGAACTCTTGAGTTTCTGCTGCGTCTTTTTGGAATCACTAATACAACCAGTTAACACTTCAACCTCCTTTTCTGGCAATAGAATAACAAGCAATCCACACAGCAGCAACATTTATAACCTTGTGAACCCCCTCTAATAAATTGAACTGACAGTATAGTACCGGGGGCCGACAAATTAATTCTGAATTCAGGGGGCAGTCCGTCCAATGCAGGAGTCAGCTGGATTTTGTTTTGGGAGCCAGCTCCACTGACAGCAGCCATAGAAAACCTTAAAAGTTTGGCGCCAGCTATAATTATTAAGGAGCATACTTTTGTTCCCCATGGTTCCTGTGTTTGTTGTAAAGTAGCCACCGCTCCAAGCTCACTCTTGTGATGGACTACAATCTCATGTTTAGTTTACTAATTTGTACTGATATTGTAGTCCATCCCAGGAGCGAGCTTGGAGCGGTGACTACATTACAACACACACAGGGACCATGGGGAACAAAAGTAGTCACCCTCCAGAAGGAAGGACAGTGTCAGCACCAATTCAGAGATGATTTGAGGATCTACAGCCGAGTGATAAGTCCAAGGAGCCTGCTGGTGTTTAGCAGCACACTCATATTTCCTAATTGTTGCTGGTTGCAATGTTTTTTTTCACACCTTTTTAATTGAACATGGCCTTTTTAAAGCTGCAGCCTCTATACAGCCTGCCCTTGTCCACATGCACTGTAATGCATGTGGACAGTGACAGGCTGTAAAGAGGCTGCAGCAGCATTAAGATGTAATAGAGAATGAGAAAAGGTAAAAACTATTTAGCCTCGTCCTCTTGCAATCCCCTGTACAGCAGCACTCAGACTGGAAAATGGGGGGGGGGGGGGAGGGCTGGGAAAACAAGGAGCGTACTGATAGTGGGAGAGAGCAAAGTGAAAGAGAGATGATCATATGTATCAGTCTGTTGTTTTTTCTGTCACAGGCTAGTGGAGGGACAATACCTGTCAGTGCTACATAACTGCAGCAGAGAAAATCGAATCTCTGCCAGACAAGGTCATACTGTATGGCAGAGTTGTGTACATTTCAGAGCTGGATAGCCAGAAATACAAACCCTTTGGCAGGGAAAAGGCTCCCTTCTATGTATTTATTTCATGGATTTAGCTTTTTGCCTGGAGTTCAGCTTTAATCTAGATTTTACATACATCAAATCCAGATTGCAGTTTCCTGTTATATCCTACGTCTCACAACTGTCATTTCTTCTTTGATTTCCTTTATAGATTTTCTAATTGTCTTCTTTTTATCATTCCTCCAGTCAAAACTGGGGTACCTGACCCTGTTGCTGTGCACGGCGCACACACTGGTCTACGGCGGAGACAGGTTCATCTACGGCGCGTTCTATCGGTGGTATCTCCCCCCAGCCTTTGTCATCTCGTTGATTGTCCCGTGTGCTGTGCTGGCGATGAAATTCATCCTCATCATTCCATGCATCGACCAAAGGATCACCAGAATCCGGCAAGGCTGGGAAAGGAAAGCCAAACGTTAACGGAACCCAAATAACAAAGCTAAGGATACAAATGATTCCGTCACCCAATGGCCGATTTCAGGGTCAAAGGAAAGCTTGTACCTACAGATAAAGCCGCGACTGTCCATATAGCACTCTCATGCTATTTAGTAAAGCAGTGCAAAAAACATTGATGACATGCAAAGTTTTGCAGCCAACCATATACAGGCAGTCCTCGGGTTACAAACAAGATAGGGACTGTAGGTTTGAATTTGTATGTAAGTTGGAACAGGTACATTTTTTAAGTGTAACTCCAGCCCCCCAATTATTTGTTTGTTTTGGATAGCATAGGGAAGTGTTAACCCCATGTAAAGTTTGTTTTGCTGTGTGTACCTCAGTTCAGAAGATTTCACCTCACTATCTGTCCATGTGACAATTGTATTTTGAAAATGTTTGGTTGTCGTGGAAACAAGCATTGGTGAATAAGCTTCAGTGGAGACACCTTTCAGGAGTGAATTTTCCATTCCTAGGGGTAAATTTCCTCTCAAGGACAGGAAGTGAGATTAAATCTTTCTAATGAGGATACAGTGACCCAGAAGAAGAGGCGGACACCCCTCGTCTGCACGTCTAACAAGAGCCAACTTCCTGTAATGTACGTACAGTACTACAAACCAGACCCAAAAAGGCGGGCACTCCTCGTCAGCAAGAGCGCGGTAGCATTACAACTACCCCTGCTGTACAGTAATAGCCTCCGTTTGTAAGTAGGAGTCGTATGTAAGTCGGATTTTGGTAACTCGGGGACTGCCTGTACCAGCTTTGACCTGATCTGAAACCTGGTTGGCTGCTATGGGTTATACATGTTGCACAATGACAATGTCAGGGCCACAAATATAATGAAGTGGCCCCATGGGATTGTGTCATCCCCTGCACCCACTTAATTCAATTAAATTATTATTTTAATCCAACAATAGTTTTAGTCACGATAAGGTACAGTCTTCTGGAATTTTCCGTTGGGCTGTTTCTGGTTTCCCATTTGTCTGTTTCCAGGTGCCCTTAATAGTGTCATGTCAATTCTGCCTGGAGATGGCTGTCGCTAGGAAGATCTTTGGAAATAAGGTGGTCGTGATTAGTTACCTAAGTTTTGGAGGGAAAAGTAAACAACCAATCAGTTGTGGGACTCACCTTTAAATGTTTACGGTCAGAAGCTCTCTTCAGCAGTGATCGTCTGCAACACAACTTGCCCCCCCCTCCCTCCCTTGTCGCGGCTATCCTTTTTGGGGGTATTGTCGCCCACATATGTGGGTGGACAGTGTTAATGTTATATTGGACTGGTGATGAGTATGGCTCGAGTCTGGGTGACTGAGCTACTTTATGTTAACTGGTTTTAAAAGTTAATTCGTTTATATATTAGTGTTGTTGAATTTAAATAAAGAATTTATATTTTGCTTTTAACCCCAATAAAGGGCCGCGGCCAATATTTTCCACTCATATCGTTTGTATAGTTTTTATTTATTCTGTCATATATTTTAATGTATTTATAGGTTGTGGGTGCGGTGGGGTTCTACAATCCCATGGATTTGTTTTTGTTTTGTTAAAGAACAAGTGCACCTCTATGATAAAAGAAAAAAAAACTGCTAGGTTCATCCTTATAAACAATCGATTCATTGGCAGCCAGGGCTGTCTTTAACACGGGGCAAAAGGGGCAGTTGCCCCAGGCCCAGTCATTGTTGTGGGGCCCAAAACAGCTGCACCTTGAGCCTGCAAAAGATATACACGGCACCATGCTGTTTACTATGAGATCGCTATTACTTGTTGCATCACCATACACTGTGTAGCATGACCGTATGACGTCACGCAGGGTCACATCTCCCTCTGACATCTCCTCCTATCTACGGGGCAGGACGGGGGCATGGTGGGTAGGGGCGGGGGGCCCAAGAAAATGTTTGCCCAGGTCTCAATCAATATTAAACACTGCGCTAATGGCATGAGCCCTAAAATTTTTAGTTTTGCACAGCCCAGTAAATACGTACACAAAGATGCAGAAAAGGCGAGATTACCAGGTATTATTTTAATGATAGCTGCAGATAAAAAAAAATTATATTGAAAATGACTTTTGAAATTACATTAGCATGTTAAAGCTTGTATGAGATTTTAGTGATTGGGTTTCCATATACAAGGTTCTTTAGAAATTGCACTTATTCTTTAACTAAGCCTGTGTATTCTCTGAAGTTATGTATATTAATGAATAATTATATGCATGTATAAGTAATGTGTATCAGTAGCCAATCAGCTGCAGTCACTGTTGGGGTATTCTGACAGCCATGGGCGCCCGCTGTTAGAATACAATAGGGGAAATTCCTCCATTCTCGCTGTTTAGTGTAGATGGGGGAATCAAGAGAAAATAAAATGTGTGTGCAGACGGCCTTGGACTTTACACACCTCTTGCTTGCACACCTGGAATACATTTAGCTCATTTAAACTGGAACTTCAATGGGACTTTAAGGTCTACTGCCGGTACGTACAGGGCAGCTCCCAGGAAGGACAGGTGCTGCGTGCGATTAGTACGCAGCCCCTGTCCTTCTCTATGGGACTATGCGGCCGTACGCTGCCCTACGCTCATCCGCCCTGCATGTTCGTACGGGTGCGCTGACAGCCATACGGACCTGCACTTGGGGTGAGCATAGGCCGGCGTACAGCCGCGTACTGCCATAGAGAAGGACAGGGGCTGAGTACTAATCACACGCCGCCCCTGTCCTTCACGGGAGCTGCCCGGTACGGCCGTGCACGAAGCTGTACATCCCGGCCTTTTCTCATGTGAATGAGGCCTGAATGAAAAATCGAACACAGACAGTGAGAGTCTTGTGTAAAGAAGATCCGGACTAAAAGAAGTCCCAGGACTATAAGTTGGCGGGTGAATAAAGTTAATTTATATCCAAATATAGCACCACACGTTATTGCATTGTGTTGGTGCGGCGACATTCTTTCTGAATAGGACCCCAATTAACCTGCCAATGGATGTCTGTTGCAGTGCAAAGCAAGGCAATGTCCTAATGCACGTTGCAGTAAGGTGCGCTTGCAAACAAAATAGTGCGTGCGCTATTTATTGACAACGCACTGCACATTATTTCACTGCACTGCTCTACAATGCACATCCCCCGGAAGGTGCGCGGGGGTGCCATTTAAAATGAATGGCACCACACCAACTTCTTGTCTTTCTTGGTGGAAAGTGCTGGGCTTTCTGATTAGAAAGTACAGTGTGCACTGCAAAGAAAAAGCTCAAAGGAGATATTCCTGAACACGGCTATGGCAGCTTTTTGAAAGCTGAGCTGTTTAGTTAACCTTAAAGAGACCCTGTCTACAACTTAAAAAAAACAGCAGGAAAATGCAAAAAAAATGATAAAAAATAAATATACATTTTTTTTTAAATGCTTACTTGCAGTGTTTTTTCTTTTCCATACGAGAGTTTGTGTTCATTTATAATGTGACTTTGAACAAATGGCAGCTCCAGAAAAAGTTAACAGAGAACCATTTTATCCCATAGCTCTCTTTAGGGTCACGGGAGGACATATACTAACCTCCTCCGTTGACCCAAAGCTGAGTATATAGCGCGCTATATATTGAGAGCACGCAGCCGGGACGGATCCTGACAATACTGTTGAGATCCACCCAGCTGGCTGCTTGGCAGTGGGCTTTGCCTATCTAGAGGCAGAGCCAGCTGTGCCCGCCCCCTCCCCTGTCCTTTTTTCCAGTCAGCGTGGAGGATCGGAGATGGGAGGGGGAGAATCCCTGCGGGGAGCCGTCACTGACAGTCACCGCTCTATGCAGGGAGATGATCAGGAAGTATATAATAAGCAAAGTTCCCCGAAAATACGGAATCCCAAAATAGGAGCTGTCTATAATAATCAAACAGGTAATGATAATGTAACAAATTTTTGTGAGAATTAATAATACACTATCTGTTCACTCCTCTTTGGCTAAATCAATGCTGACTGGACCCATTAAGAGAAAGCTACACTCCTCGTGGAGAGGCGCTTCTCCTTTCCCCATTTGTTATTATTATGATCAGGAAGTAAGCGATCGATGGTATGTATTCACTCACTTCCCGATCTATTGAGCCGACGTGTGACAGTTTCAATGTCACACGTCGGCTCTAACTATGAGGATGAGTGTAAAATCACTTACCTCATAGTTCTCCTTCAATTCCCTAGCACAGCCACAGTCCCCCTCCCTCCTTGCACATCATAACCCCCCTCATTTTCTGGAAGTGTCTTATTACCGTCTGTACTGGCCCTGCTCCTCTGCCCCTCCCCTCACCTCTTTTCATAACCCTTTTTGTAGCAGCTAATGAATGAATAAAAAGAGTGTCACTTGAGTAGTCAGTGTCAGTTAGAGTATCACTTGAGTCCCTTGACTGGTTAGTGAAAGGTGAAGCAGCACAGTGATGAGCTCATCTCTCTGTCACCCTGCTCTCTCCTCCTATTAGCATTCCTTCTGTCAGCACTTGAATTGATCGGCTCCTTGTGCTGCTTCTCCCTCCTGCACTCCAGCCCTGCTGTACATGGCTGCAAGAGGCTGATAAGAAGTCACATTCAGGTACTTAAAATGTAAGATGCACTGCTTCTCTCTCGCTCTCTCTCTCTCGCTCTCTCGCTCTCTCGCACTTAATTGCACTACACATGACTGTAAATTAATAAAAGTAGACAGGAGAGGAGGAGGATATTAAGAAGGATGAGGGGGTGTGATTAAATGTAACTGGAGAAATAAAGGATGTTGAGCAAATGAGTTACAGGTGTAGAGTGCTAGAAGGACGAGCTTACACATGAAGAAACATCTAATCAGACACCTGTATTGCTCCGGCTGATGGGATACCTTTCACTGAAGAGCAGAATGAATGGGCGTTGATGGATTTAACAAACAGACCTGAAAGAGAAACGTGTTTTATCTCAAGTGCCGCATTGTATAACCCATTCAGACATAATCCATGCAGCAATCAGATTGGCAGCGTTCCCAAGTATCTGCCGTTCCCGCCAATGCTTCTTTGTATTTCTCTGCCAAACAGATAAAATCGGTGAAAGGTATGTCAGGCAGGCAGATAATTGTATCTTCCATACCATGTTCAGAAGGCTGGAGACACTGCGACTACTGCAGGACATACCATTAGTAGGATGAAGGAAACCGTGAGAGAGCACTCTGTATTAAAACTGAGTT